ACCCTGTTCTTAAGAGATGAATGATCTCTTGATCCCAAATCTCAGTCCTGCGACCCTGCCTGGCGGGTCTCTGGCTCTGCACTGGGAAGTTCAGTGAGCGGGATGCCCAGGGCATCTTCCCGGGGACAAGACACAAGCCCGCCCTCCCTACCTTGATCTCTGGCTGGGGCTGGGCTCTTTCCGAAAGCCTCTTTGCTCTCTGTCCCAGGCAGCGTCTTGGTGATTCCTTCCTCATCGTCGGAGAGAAGTCCTGCCAGTGGGTCTTCCAAGTCTCATGGGCAGAGGGAAAGCACAGGTCAGACTGTACACTCGCTCCAGGAAAGCCCTGCACTGCGTTGAGGGGCTGCTAGGTTATTACTTTTCTCCTAGCTGCACTGATACAGAACAAGCCCCTCAGCATCTGGACACAGACCAGGCTCTGCACGGGGACAGGGAGTGGGACAGTGCCCCTGGGCCTGTGGTCCAGTGTGACTGTGCCAGGCTTGCCAGTGGCCACAGACTCTGCTGCTGGCACAGCCTTCTGGAAATGTCCCCAGACATTGGAAGAGAAATCAAACATCTGTGCATTCACGAAGGGAAAGGAACCTTTCCTATACTTTATAAAATCTTCAGTTTGATGTCTGGCTTCAAAGTTCTTGCAAATAAGTTCCCCAAATACTGAGGTGAATACACATAATTCGTCCCTCCCTGGGTTCACAAGGAACTAAATCAGTGGCACCGGATGCCTGCTTCTTGTCTGATACACACAGCGACTCGGGCCAGTGAGCGCTGCCAAGGCTACTCCTCTCCCCAAACTAGAGTGTCCCAGAAGCGGGACTGGAAGGCCTGTGGTACCTTCAAAAGAAAACTTCTTGTACTGATGCCCGAAGCTGCCGGGAGGGGGAGAGGGCTTCTTGGTGGGAATGGCATCCCCTGCAGAAAGCAAAGAAGGCAAGGTCACGGCCTGGGCCCTTGCTGGTGAGGTTCTTCCACAGAATGACTTGGGTGCAGGATGCATGCACCTCTTCCAGATGGAGCTGAGGGACTGTGGCTGTGGACATGCCCCTGGGATGTGTCTGCACTTCCCCAGATCTCACACAGGCTTCTGACAGGGAAACGTGGTCTGGAAGCTACCTGCCCTCTAGTCACAAGCACTCTAGTGACATGGACTTGGGAGATGCACAGGTTACCATAAAAGTCTCCAATTTACTTAAATGGCTTCTCCACGAGCTGCCATGTTGGAATCAGAGGGACTGGACAGCTCCAGGAAGGCAGCTCGACTTGTCCCCCTCCCCCACCATAAATGCTCATACACAATTAGCTCTTGGCCTCTCCACCCCAAGCAGAGAAAACCCACAAGACAGGAAAGCTTCCTTCTAAGCACCTTCCATGTCCCCAAAGCCTCCCCAGATCTGAGGAGCTATGTCTTACTCGCCTTTCTCACTAGCTGTTAACACTCCAGCAGATTTGGGGTTGCTAGGAAGCTCTTCTTTCCCAGAACCCTTTGCAGCACTTCTGCTAGAGGCTAGATGAGACTTCTTCAGACCTAAGAGATCCGTATCCATGTCGTCCAGGTCCTGGAAAAGGGGGAGGAGGGAGGGATCCCACAGGTGCTCAGCTGTGGTTGCTAAGTGACTCCATGCTCCAAGCACTGAGAGATTAGTCTTCAGAATTTATGTCTTAAATTGCATTGTCAAGATCAGCTTGGGTCTTGATCTGATCAGAGGACAGCTCTACTGCAGGGGACTTGGCAGGGCAATGGGGAGAGATGTGCAGAAAAAGGAGATAGTCTCCCTATCTTTCCCGCCAGGTGGTGGGGTGTGGAGGGATGTAGCTGGGTGAGACTTTGGATGGGAGCTGACCCCATGTCCCCAGAGGCCTGGCCCATGTGTCTCTGGGTGGGAGAATCTCCATAAACCAGAGATCCATCCCTGGAGGGGCCGATGGCAATAGCTCACAGATGAGCTCCACTCCTGCCCTGGGAAGGGCTCAAAGTGCAATCTTGAAAGGGACAGACTAGGGAGAATGAGGGCGTAGCAAGAAATTCCGTACCCAACCCCGCCCCCCGGCCCAGGACTAGCAAGCTACTCCAGTACCTTCATGGTCTGGAGCAGGGCCTGTGGGTCTGCATCCGAGACATCTGAAACCTAAGTTCACCAGAGGGAAGGACGTGTGTTAGTCAAGGCCCTTCAAGCCCAGGGCCCTCACCCCTAGTGGCCCTGCTTCTGTTAGGGCAGGGGCGAGCCTGGGCAATGGGGCATGAACAGGAGCGTCCTGCCCTCATGTGGCGCTTGTGTGTCGTTTGAAATGGAACCTGCCCAGGTGTGGAGACCCAGAAAGTGCTGCTGCTTTTGCTCCTCCCCACCAGGAAGACCATTCCCAGCACAGGACTCAGACCCTGCCACTGAGCAGGTGATTGGACACAGTGGAGTTTATTATAGGAGCCAGTTCGAAGGTGCAACACTCAGGGCCACAGCAGCTGCCAGGAGCGCCACCTCCTGGGTCATCCCACTGGTGGGAAGGAAGGGAATGTTGCTTCGGAAACTCGGAAGCCCTGGGGATTCTCTGGCTTGTGAACAAGCTGGCTTTCAGGGCCTTCTGAACCATTCTGTAAGCAGCCCCTCCATTTCCCATCTCACTGTTTCCCGGAGTAAGTAGAGAGGGTAGGGAGTAGGCACCAGACCAGGCTCACCTCGGCTTCAGCTCCTGCCAGGCCTGCCGTGGTGCCGAAGGCATCGGTTTCCAGGAGGGACCTGCAAAGGGGCGGAATGAGCACTGCCCACGTCCCCAGGACGCCAGGTGACTGGGAAAGGAACAGCTTAGAGTCCAGGTGAACTTGGAGAGCCACTCTTCCCCGGGGAACAGAGCTGCTGAAAGGAAGTTCACAGGCTACCTAATGCAGTGATTTTTAACTTCTTAAAAAAGGAGTAGGGACTCTTTAAAACCAAACTGTTAAACAACAGGTGAGAGAGAGAAGCAGACACACTGCGACTAAAAAGGTGGGGTGGGAAACTCAAAGCTCCTCACTATGGCTCAACTGTCAGGAGAACCTCAGAACAAACAACCTGACAATCACCAAACCAGGGCAAGCCTCTTAGTCTGAAGATAAGGAAATTGAGGCCCAGAGAGGTTCAGGGATTGCCCAAGGTCACACAGTAAGCAGCAGGCACAGGCCTACAAGCCAGGACTTCCGACCTCTAGTTCCGTTTTCTTTCCACTCCCAAAGTCTTCTTCCCCGACCAAGAGCTGAGGGGGGAGGATGAGATGGCTGACACTGAAGGGTGGCACATGTTAAGTTGCAGGCAGAGGACAGGGAGGTAGAGCATCTGGACGGAACCGGGTCATGGCTGCCCAACCAGTCCTGTGCTTACTTGGTTCTAGCCCTTGCAGAAGGGAGTGTCTGGGCTATGCCCGTCTTATCTCTGGCTCGTGAAGCTAGTTTCACAGGCTTCTCAGGCAGCATCACTGGAAAACAGAGAGAACAGGAAAGATGTTGCTGGGCTCAGAGACCTAGAGTGACCACAAAAAGGGCTGTGAGCGCCCAGGCTGTCTCCCAGGCCTCTCGACGGCGAGAAGGGCCGTCTGCAGGAAGGAGGTGGCCCCACAGGTGGGCTCTGATGTTATTCCCTGAAAAACCTGAATGGGGACGGGGTGGTCTATTTCCAAGCAGGAGGTGAAGCCTAAATGCCAACTGGTGACAAGTGAAGAACCCATGCCCACCCCACCCCACGGAAATGCAGGCAGAACAATATACTTCCAGGGTCCAAGGCTGCCGGGATGCTCATAACAGCATCATTCCTAACAGCTTGGGCAAAATGTGGAACCAGCCAAATAGCCATCGGCTAATGAACGAACAAAGAAAACATGGCACATCCACGCAATGGAACGTTGCCCAGCCATGGAAAGAGACCTTGAAAACCTTGTGGTAAATGAAAAAAACCAGATGCAAAAGCCACATACTGTACAATTCCATTTAATATGAAATGTCCAGAAGAGGCAAATCCATGGAGAAAGAAAGTAGATCGGTGGTTGCCTAGGGTTGGGGGCGGGGGGAGAGTGGGGATTGACTGCTAACGGGCATGAGTTTCTTTACAGGGTGATGAAAACATTCTGGAATTAGACTGTGGTAATGGTTGTACAACTTTGTGAATACACTAAAAGCCATCGAAATGTACACTTCAAAAGAACAAATTTTATGTGAATTATATCTCAATTATAAAAAAATGAAGAGCCCTAGTCGGTGTGGCTCAGTTGGTTGGAGTGTTGCCCCGTACACCAGAAGGTGGTGGGTTCGATTCCCAGTCAGGGCACATGCCCAGGTTGTGGGTTCAATCCCTGGTCAGGGTGCATGCGCAAGGCAACCAACTGATATTTCTCTCTCTCTTCCTTCCTTCTCTAAAAATTAATAAAATATTTAAAAAATTTTAAAAACAAAAAACAAGCCTAAATCAGGGAATTCTGGGAAGGGGTACTTACTCTCATCCCCCAGGAGGTCTTCAAGGATGTCATCAATGGAGTCTGGAACAGAAAGAGTGGCAGCACTTCAGGAGGAAAGAATGGTCCTACAGCCATGGGTATTGAGCCCTCACCCCAGGATCTCAGGGCTCTCAGACCTCGGACCTTAGGCTTAGCTCTCTCTTCATTAGCCACGAGGTGCTTTCTAACTCTCTGGCAACAAGTCCCATGACCTTGTTGAAAGACCCCAGGGGAAAAATTCAACCTTCTTGAAGATGGTGAAGATTTTTAGCAGAACCTATGTTCTATGTGACACACTGCCAACAAGCCAGTCTTTTAGGCTCTGAACAAAGCCCAGTGCGTGTCTCTGGGAAAAGTGTCAGGGATTTCTAGGCACACACAAACTTCTTTCATACCGACAGCCTCCTATAACCCTTCCACCCAAGACCCCCAGAACTGGTCTGGAGGCACACACGCCTCCTTGGCCACTTTTCCATGGGGTAAGCGGGAACCCAAGTGCGAGTGAGTGAATTAGTTTTCACATCTAGCCCAAGTGCCTTCACCACCCTTAACCCCAACCGAGTCCTTCTGGATCTTCTAGATACAGAGCTCAGCGAGAAGGACTTTTCTCCAAATCCCATTCCTTGTTTATTTCTGGATTACTCTAAGGGCCAATGAGGCAACATTAGGAATCCCCTAAAAGACGAAAGCCACAATGGAATTATGGGGAAACCACCAGGAACATTCAGACACAGACACATGTAAGTTACTTTTGGACCCAAGGTGGGGGAATTATTTTTGGCTTATGGGTGATGTTCCATCTCTCCACTCACCTCTCAACCCTTTCTTGGTCTTTGATGCCTAAAATGGGAAAAACAAATCACTTTAACGAAATCATACAAACAGTAATGTGCGTTGAAACCGAGAATGTAGAATCAACTGCTTTGCCTTTTGCCAAGTCACCACAGGGAAAAGGAGCACAGATGGCACTTAGAGATGTGAGCCCTTTATGCTCTCTGAGATTCATCAGGATAGACTCATTCAAAGCATGGAAACAGCCCCTACTAACCAGCCGGGGGTGCCACTGTGGGTGCCGCCCCCCACCCATGCGAAGAAGTCTCTCCTTTTGCCTGAATTCTAGAAGCGACACACAAACCCTCCCGGCCGGGACTCAATGTGACTGGGAACATTATTCCTCTATCCCGTATCCCCGACTCGATACCAGCAACAGACTTAAAACTGCTTCCAACTGTAGGTTCAGAGGCTCAGAAGAAATGCTGGCTCATTGCTTAAGGAGAAGTTCCATGTCACTCCTGTCCAGGGACCAATCCCGGTCCTGGGGTCCTGGTCACGAAGCCCCCCTCCCCCAGTCCTCCATGCCCTGGCGATCTTGGGCGAAGAGGGCAGGTTCCCATTTCCACACATCTCCCGCTGCATTCTGCCTACCATCTTAAGGCTCTGGGCACTGCTTGCGGCTCCTTCACCGCGCTGGCCAGCTCATCTGGGGTCTGCCCACCCCAGGCTCAGGCTCAGGCTCAGGCTCAGGCTCCCCTAAGGAAGAAAATTGTAAGTGGTTGCTGAAAACCTTTAACCATGCTTAGGTCCCAGGCCCATCAAAGCTTCTCCCACTGCACCGGCCAAGAGGTTGAAACTTCCTTTCATAAAAGAACCGTTCCTTCGGGGGGAAGCAACTCAGANGAAAACCTTTAACCACGCTTAGGTCCCAGGCCCATCAAAGCTTCTCCCACTGCACCGGCCAAGAGGTTGAAACTTCCTTTCATAAAAGAACCGTTCCTTCGGGGGGAAGCAACTCAGACGCTGAAGTGCCCCGAGTGACCCAAGGAGCCTCCCGAGGCCTGCTTAGTGCCGAGCTCCGCGTCCCTGGCCCGAAAGGGGGCGCTGAGGCGGCGGGCGCCCCTCTCGGGAAGGAGGTGGGCGGGTGCGGGTGCGGGGCGCCCAGGCCGCAGCCCGACTACTGCCCGGGGCGCGCTCCGAACACCCAGCCGTGCGCGTGCGGGTTACTCCCCCCAGGGCCGGTTTTCACGGGCCGTGGAAATCCTGTCTTTCACACTAACTATAAATCCAGCTCGCCCCGTTCACAGACGACTGTTTTCTTCAGAGTTTTCCTCCCGCCGCCCCCGTCCCGCGCCCCGCGCCCCGCGAAGCGACCTCGGGCGGCCGCGGGAGGAAGGAGGGGGAGGGGTCATCCCCGTCTCTCGGGTGTCGGCCCGTCGTGTTTCTCGCCTGCAGAGTTTACCTGGGGTTACCCGCGGGGGCCGCTCTGGAGGCCCGTGTCTCTCTCCCGGGAGCGGCAGCTCTCACACCTACGGGCGCGGACGCGCGCGGTCTCAGCGCGGCCGGGCGCTGCCGGGCATC